GTTTTCCCACTTTGATAGGACCTTCCAGAGAGTGCTGTGGTTTCCATTTACTCTACCTGAATATGCTGGTCATTGGCCTGTCCAAGAGAAGCAAAGAGCTCAGGGGGAGTAGTGCTCACTGAGATATCGGCCAAGTTCAAACCACAAACCTATATGCTGTTGTTTGCCTTGTTGTATGGCTCTGCACTTTGCTAAAATCTATACATCTTCCTACTGTAGTTCTTTCATAATATAAATATAATGTATTGAACTGAATTTGTGAACAAGAACTGCACCCTGACAAACTCTCAATCCTCGGATTCAGGAGGAGCAATGCAGATTCTGCCCAGGTTGTAGAACAATGAATCAACTCTTTACACTTGCAAGGTTACTGGAGGGATCCTGGGAGTCTTCCCATCCAGTCTGCAAGTGTGTTGTGGACTTAGAGAAGGCCTACAACCAGGGATCTTGTTGGGGGTACTTCGGAAATATGGGGCACTGGGGCTGTTGGTGCTCCCTCTGGAATGGGAATGAGATCCTGCCACAAGTGAAGGAGTAAGTATCTTGGGGTCTTGTTCATAAGTCAGGGTAAACTAGAGCATGAGACTGACAGGCAGGTAGGGGCAGCATAAGCAGTAATGCAGATGTTGTACCAGGCCGTTGTGGTGAAGAAGGAGCTGAACCAAAAGGCAAAGCTCTCAATTTACCAGTCAGTCTATGCTCCAACCCTGACCTATGGTCAAGAGCTGTGAGTAGTGACCAGAAGAATAAGATCGCATATACAAGGAACCGAAATGAATTTCTTTTGTAGAGTGGCCGGACTTATCCTTAAAGATTGGGTGCAGAGTACTTTTACTTTACATGTATTTTGTTAATTTGTATGCATTAATTTAAGGAGGATTTTGAAAGCAAGACTTTACTTTTTATTGAGTATTTTTACATTGTTGTAGTATTATGGCACTTTTTCTTAAGTAAAAGTTCTGCGTATGTTTTCCACCACTAAATAACAGAAAACAAGTGTCATAAAGATTTGTGTATTTTTTCTGTTTTACAATTGACAAATGTCAAAGCAGTAAATCAGAATTTGTTGGCACCTTATCAACCTTCTATTCATGATATCAAACTGAGAAAAATACTGCTTCATCAGCCCCCCACTTTATCAGCACCGGGGCAAATGATGCTGCTTTTGACACCATTGATCACAGCATCTTACTGCAGAGACTTGAACATGTTATTGGGATTAAAGGAACTGCGCTAAGTTGGTTCAAATCTTATTTATCAGAAAGATTTCAATTTGTTCATGTTAATGACGAATGTTCCACACAAACTGAAGTTAGTCACAGCGTTCCACAGGGCTCTGTGTTAGGTCCAATTCTCTTCACTTTATACATGCTCCCTTTAGGCAATATTATCAGGAAGCACAACATAAATTTCCATTGCTATGCAGATGATACTCAGTTATATTTATCTATGAAGCCAAATGAATCAGATCAGCTGGTCAAACTTCAAGCATGTCTTAAAGACATAAAGGCCTGCATGACCTGCACCTTCTTACTTCTAAACTCTGACAAAACTGAAGTTATTGTGCTTGGGCCTGAAAACCTTAGAAATCTGCTGTCTAATCATATAGTTACTTTAGATGACATAGCTCTTGCCTCCAGTACTACTGTGAGGAACCTGTGAGTCATCTTTGATCAGAATATGTCCTTTAAATCACACAAAATCCAAGTCTCTAGATCTGCCTTCTTTCACCTACGCAATATTGCAAAAATCAGGAGCATCCTGTCTCAAAGTGATGCTGAAAAACTGGTCCATGCATTTGTTACTTCCAGGCTGGACTACTGTAACTCTTTACTATCAGGATGTCCCAATAATTCCCTAAAAAGCCTCTGTTTGATTGTTGTGTCTTGTTGCTTTTCTTCTTTTGTCTCTCCTCTATCCACTCACCCCAACCAGTCGAGGCAGAAGGCCACCCACCAAGAGCCGGGGTCTGTCGGAGGTTTCTTCCGTTAACGGGAGTTTTTCCTCCCCACTGTCGCCAAGTGCTTGCTCAAGGGGGATTTGTTGGGTTTTCCCTATGTAATAATATTGATAACAGTAAGGTCTAGACCTTACTTTGTAAAGTGTCCTGAGATGACTTTTTTTGTGATTTGGCGCTATACAAATAAAATTTGATTTGATTTGATTTGATGCCTCATATTGTCGAGCACATTGATTCACTGGCAAAAATACACACATAATTCAGATTTTCCTGAGATCTATAAGAGTTTGGGAATACATCACTGAACATGAGTCATTAGATTTCACAACTATATATAAGTCTCTTGACTCATACTGCAGTACTATCAAATCCCTAAATTCCACTGACACTGTATGGAGAGCTGTCTTGCATCATCTCCAAAGCACCAACACCACATAAAGACAGAGCTCTGTTTTCCTTTTCTGTGCAGGACCCAAATGACAAATGTTGTTTCTTTCATCCTGGGACCTAACGCCCATTAAAGAGTGATGAAACCGAAAGTAACTGCTCATCAGTAAAACATTTCAAAAACCTAAAACTTTAAGAAGATATATGATAGATTAAACCAGGGCATTTACGTTATGGTATGACTTTGTGCACTGAATCACTAATCTTTACACTGATCAATAGAGAAGTTGTCCTGCAGTTTGACAACATTAATTCAGTCTTCATGTGGGATCCGCTGAGCTGATTCTGCAGGACATCAGATTTCTTTAACAGAAACATCACACACGGAGCAAAACACAGCAGGCTACACAACTGGCATGCTGCATTTCCAGCTTAACCTGGCCTGTATGCAGGTTTCTGCAAATGTCTTCTTGTTCAGCACAGCCAATGCAAATTTACGGGCACCCACTGAAGAAAGCGTTCACTTTTACACAAGGGATGAAGCCTGGTTTGACTCTGTGTGGAGTAAGTGCCATTAGGGGGCAACATTGACCAAAAGTGTGTGTGTGCTTTTACTTACAATCCAAACTGGTCCAGCGACGCATTCCTTTACTTGGATTCCACATTGTGCTTTCTCAGGTAGTGTCCTCACGACATACTAGTCTTTATCAGTTATAATGACAACGACAATAAAGATTGTTGCTCCCCATCCTTACACTTTGACTACTATTACAGTAAATACCACTGGTAATAATCATAATAATAATTATGTAATAATATGCAGACTTATTGAACATATTAAATATGCATAATATATAAATATTACTCACAATAAATTGTTTAAATGGCTGTACAGACCCTTGCAAGTCCACATAACAATGATATACTGACATCTAGTGGAAGCTCTTTGGGATAATCAAGTCACTCACTCTATTCTTAATAATAATTACTATGCATCAAACTTAGTCATGCAGCCTTATCCACATGCACATCAAATTTTTGGCTCAAGCATCACAAATAACCCACAAAGTTCATGAGACCTACTGTGTGTCATAGTATCAAGCATCCCACAGTGCTTCTGCCCAGCTACGAATATGGTGACACTAATAATGGGACACCTTGTACATCAGACGTGTAGCTTCACTTTTAAACCTAGAGTTGTAAAAGTTGCTGGTCCTTCTGCTGAAGTCAAATCAAAACATTGCAACATGGTTTTCCTCTCACAATGACGTGCACTGGATGCAGCTGAATCCGTCATATCTGTAGTGCTGTAAAAGAAATGCTTCAGTTCTGTTATGTAACTTTTATAATCAACTCAACTCAAATAGTTGTGTGAACAGGCCTTAAATTTATATGGTCAAAAGAGTATTGGACTGAAAGAAAATAGCCTGTCCTGTTTTGTAGGTGCTTTTGTTCCTCTTCCTAAATTTGCCTTTTGAGTCTACATTACATCATTTTGCAGCATCTGAGACTGATGAGCCAAAAATTCAGACAGAGGCTGTCTTCATTTCTGCTGTGCATGTTTCCTCATGTGAATTTGAAAATGTACAATGTCTGGTCAGACTAATGCTGTTGGTTGTATCCAACTTTTAATTTGTGTAGCTGTGTTTAAAGGTGATTTACAATAGTTGTAGCTACAACCTCCAGCCAGCACTTCCTGTAGCAGAGGATCAGACCTACACAACGTTCAGGAGGAGTTCTGGACCGTTCTTCCTGACAGAGCCGCTTCAGCTCAGCCATATTCTTTGGACGTCTGGTGTGAATGTCTTGAGGTCATTCCACAGCATGTTGGGTGGAGGTCTGGGCTCTGACCGGGCCGCTCCAAAAGGCGGATTCTGAAGTCATTCTGTAGTAGATTTACTGTGATGTTTAGGGTCGTTGTCCTGCTGCAACACCCAGCTTGTTCTGAGATCAGCTTGCCGACAGCAACCTTGACCTTATCCTGTAGGACACCTGGATGAACTGGGGAATTCATTTTCCCTCCATAGTGGCAAGCGGTCCATGTCCAGATGCAGCAAAGCAGCCCCACATCATGATGCTCCTCCACCGTACTTCACTGTTGGGATGATGTTTTCCTATTGCTACACGGTTCTCTTTTTACAGCATACGTAGCGCTGTGTGTTCTTCCCAAACAGTTCTACCTTTGTTTCATCTGTCCATAAGGCAGTTTACCAGTAGTGTTGTGGAGGGTCACAAGCTTGAGGCTGCTACAGTGTTGTTTTTGGAGACCAGTGGGTTCCTCTGTGGCGTCCTGCCATGGATACCACGACTGTTCAATGTTTTTTTATGATTGACTAATGAACAAAGATGTTAATCAGCGCAAGTGAATCCTGTGTGTGTTCAATAAAGACATGAAAGATCTGGACTGTTTGTGTTTTATCAGCTTAGAAATATTGTTTGTTGATGTTTGTGACTTTGGTGAAGATCAGATCACATTTCATGTACAATTTATGCAGAAAACCAGGAAATTGCAAACAGTGCCATTACTGTTGTGTGTGTGTTTCTACCTCACACATCCACACTTGACAGTATTATTATGAGCTACACCCCATGAGAGACATGGAATTTTCTCAAAAGATAAACTGAACAAGAGAGAGTAGAGATATTTGCCGGAATCATAAATTGTTTATTTCCCACATCCACTGCAATAAACAACACAATGCAGCTTCCAGCATATTCCAGCATAAAAGACACAAGTGAGAGCATTAGTAAATAATGTATAAACATCATTGTTTACCATTTTCCTTTGCTCAAGTGGAGATGTATGCATCTAAATCTATATCTAAATATTCTAGCAGCTTTACATTAGTGATCATGGGCCCAATAAAATCATTGCACACTGACTACATGATTGACTACATACTTATTTTAAATATCTAAGTGTATACAAAATATATATGTAGATGGGAGATATGCTTGTGAGACACAGTCTAGACACACAAATCCTTTTTTGAGCCCTTGAACACAAACAATTTTATCCTACCCTGGTACACAGTACATTCACTTTGACTTCTGTCATGCAGTTATTCAATACAAGCGAGCTCCAGTTTTTGACCCCAGATTCAAAATTTCCAGTTCATTCTTTCCAAAACCAGGCATGACATGCTTGATGACAGGCAGCAGACGCTGACCTGGCTGTAAGTACTGTCCCTCCTCATTCAGTTTTCTCAGGAGGAACTACTTCCATCAGCAGCTGAAGATAGATGGTGATGGGCCCTGCGGGGGAGCAGAAGTCAAAGGTCACACTAACACCATTCAAGTTGATTCAACACAGGGTCAAGGCAACATAACACTGTAATTCCATTATTTGTTTTCTATCTTTTGAGCATGTTATTTTCAATTGTATTCACTACTGATGGTTACAAACTAGCAACAATATTTCAGTAACTTGGATTTTGAGCAACACATACTCATGATTCTGCGTGCCCACTTGACCTTGAGGTGAACAAACGGGTAGTAGAGGAGAAGTCCACTGAAGATGAAGATAGCACAGTAGAGGTACTCCAGCTCTGGCTTATCAATGATGGGAGCCAGGACTAAGTAGCAGGATATCACGACCATTAGGCCTGGTATGACAATTGGCACCTTTGAGTAATCACATAATTAAACAGGACTGTAAAAACCTAGCTTATTATCTTGAGCAAATACTGTAGACTGTAGGTTGCAATGGGCACGTACAAAATTTCTATAACTGCAAACAGATATGGCATGAGCTTGTGCAGACCCAAATACAACATTCAGTTAAAATGCATCCTTCTCCATGTTCATCTCTATAAAGCATGGGTAAACCTGAAAACTGTAGCATTTGCTGCAATAGTTATTGAGCAGGTCACATCTGTCCAGCCAGCAATGCCAGTGCTATCTATATTTATCACTTTGAAAGTCACAAAATGACTATTCTAAAATGAAATGAATATGAAAATGAATATTCTGATTCTATACTGATAAAAAATACATTAAAGAGAAGTGGCCTCCAATAAAAAAAACTAAAAGTTGTGCCTCGGTCAGAAGGTCTCACCTTCACTGGTCTGTGGAGCTCCTTCCTTGTGAAACGCATGACAATGAGAGCCAGCGCTGCCAGACCATAAAACGCCCACTGAGCAAAGCTGAAGTAATTAATGAGGGTGTTTATGTCGGCTGGGATACTGTAGAAAATAGCCAAAAAACCCTAAAACATCAAACAAATCAAAAATTCACCAGAAGAAAACACCTTGTTTACTTAATAGGAAACAACACAGTGGCTATTTCTGATTTATATGAATTTATGTGAGCTTCCTTTAAAAACCTTCCTCAACACAATGAATCATCATGCAAAAAATGTAACATTAAATATTTCAGATGACAAAACCAAATTGGAAAGTGTGTATGTTGACTCACATTGAACATGAGTGCAGGGGATGGGGTGTAACGCTTCAGACTAATAAAGGATAAGATTTTCACCATGTGACCCTCTCTACCAGACACGTAGGCCAGTCTGAGGGAAGAGGATGTTAGTGTTATATGCTATTTAAACTTTCTTTCTCATGCACACAGATATGCACATTACAGCTTTACAAAGAGAAAAATGTTTTTATTTCTGCATTTCATGTATAATGTGTTATCTCTTTTACCTGCCAGCAGTGAAGCAACTTCCATTGGCAGTACCAAGCGTGGAGAAGACAACAAAGAGAGGAATGATCCAAGACACAGGATAAAGGACTCTGTCTCCAAAAGTCTAAGGAGGCACAAACAAATCCTTCAGAAAAAACAGTGGGCAGAGTAAAGGAATACTGAGCTGTTTAATCAAAAGTTCTCTGGAATAAAGAGTAAATAAAATACATATACTATATGTGAAACAGTCACTGTTAACTTGGGTCTCATTAATACCTACTAATATTTCATTTAACTGAGAAGTCATTACGAAGTAATTTTGTAAAGTAATTAAAACTCTGTGACTCTCAACTTCTCTAAAACCATGGCAGTTGTCTGTGCTTCTTACCACGGCAACAGCTGGAGACAACAGCAGTTCAGTGCTGGTCATAACTGTGAAGTAAGCAATGTTGACCAACACATAGCACACAGAAACCAAAGGGATGCCAATAATGATGGCCAATGGCAAGTTCCTGAGAGGAACAAACAAATAAATAAATTTAAAAAAAAATCAACCTAAGAGCGAAACATGTTGTATATCATTATCACTATCATTATCAAATGCATTTTAGGAGTGCACAGCCTGCAGTGAGACCTGGTGCTCTGACTTTGTGTGCTGACCATTATACAAGGACCAACTAAGTGAATTTTGTCTTACCTAAATGGGTCTTTCAGCTCCTCTGTGATGAAATTCAGCTGATTCCTAAGAAAACAATGAGAAAATAAGGAACGTGTCCACTCTGGAGGCACCTTACTGTCATTCAAAGCCAAACATAACTGTGATGGAAAAAAACTAAAACAATTGCTGTATTTTTCAATATTTGTCCACTAAAGGACTCTTCAGGGTTGACTGCTCTCTGCAGCACAGTTAAACTTTAATGCACTTGATCGGCCACCCAGACAATCCTCGTTTTACATGCAGAGCTGACTCTATGTAAGGAATCGCGGTAACACCACCCCTTAGTATGTTCATTGTCAGTGGCATGCTATTTCACTCAACTGTTGCCCTCTAACTGGCTCTGTTGGTACAAAGGGTATTAGCCTGACACCTTCACTCCTGCTGCGATTCTAATATCACTTAAAAGTGAAAGTGTATCAGTCATATGGGGCCAGATCTCCTCAGAAGATTTGACTGGAAAGGAGAATACAGCTCCAGATTGACTTTAGACAGTACAAATAAAGGAACTTCAGTCAGGTAACGGTGCTCTGCCACACACTCCTGCACCAGGTGGGAGATGGAGAGAGGCCAAGAGAAACCTCCCAGTGGGTCACAGCACAGGAGACACAGGAACTGATGTTGAACCCATAGTGTTACAATGCAGACTCAGACAATGGAAAATAACCCATTTATAACCATTCAGAAGAGACTCTAATGCCAGCATGCTCATAAGCAAGATGAAGGTGGCAGACTTAACCTGCTGCTGCTCTGTCATGCACAAGCACCTCTTTAAACCAACACAGACATTTAATGTGCAGACTCAGTAAAGATTTTAAAAAACATTCAACCAGTGCAGCCTTTCAGTAGACATAGGGAGACAGAGACTCATGGTCATATGAGTATAACAAAACAGCAAGACTGCTTGTGAAAATTTTGGTTCAGATCCTGGTACCAAAAGCACCTGTACACACATCTAATATGCACAGCACCTGAGGGAACAGTTGAGTGATTATGAAATCTAAAAGGATGTGGTCTGAGAAAATGTTGCTCTCTTGTGTAACTGTAACTGTTCATCTAACTGCACTATGTGGAACATGATCTATTCAGGACATAACAACAAGATACATCTGGAGAAAGGGCAAGAGGTTAGAGAGCAGCTGAAAGTGAGGCTGATGTGTTGTTGCACTGTTGCGTATCATCTGCAAAACAGCTGAGAAAGGTCATGGAGTTCCTCACATGGAGTCAGCACACTAAGAAAAGGCTCATCTTACTGGTTGGGAAAGTCCACTACAACACATCAGTTTTGAGAGGACTGTGGTCAATCCTATACATCCTGTTGAAGGGTAAAATAAAATGAACTGTTACCATCCGTCATAAGCCCAAAGTCCATTATAGAACGCAAGTCCAATTGCTCCAAAGGACGTTGATGGGCCATCAAATGCATTTGACAAATTATCAGTCTTTCCTGGACACAAACACAATACATAAATAAATGATTTGTTATAATTAGATGTTTCATCAACAAACAAACATTTTAAAAGCACATTTTTATCTCACTTATTATACAAGACCTTGCGCCAACAGAACAATGCCAGCTCCCACTATGATGACAATGATGAAAAGTTTGGCCGCAGTGAAAATGTTCTGCACGTAGTTCGCCAGTTTGACGCTCAGACAGTTGATGGTGACGATTGAAACTGAGAAGAAAAAAAATTTCAAATTCCCTCATTTCATTCATACTAGAATTAAACAGCACTCAGAGAGTGCTAACCTCTGCCAGGGCAGCTCAGTTTCCCCATAATGCCATTACAACTAAAAGCAACATTCCCATGCTAGCTTGACCTGATGTGTGTCTGTCTGTCTGACCGAGTGTGGGGCTTAGCTATACTAGGGAGGATGAAGCCTGTGCTTTGACTGCATTCACATAAACTCCTTCCTGCAGGGTTGTGTAGAAGTGCAGCCATGTTTATTTGTGCTCTAGAATGAAACTGCCATGAAACAATCAGAAAATAGCATTTTATTTCTTTGATTAATTGCTTGGATTTGTTGTGCGCACGGCACAACAAATCAAAGCAGTGCGTGTTAGGGTGATTTTTATTTTATGCACTTAAGAATGGTTTTATTTTATAACACACATAAGTTTACATACTTATATGTCACAGATATGCTTATATAGTTATGAATATCACTCTATGTGTTCACTTAACCACTGGTCAAATATTTGCTGTGTGAGTCACTGAAACACTAATGCAACATCATAAGTCTTGTCCACTAATTTTTAGCTTCAAAGGGAGAACAGTTATGCACACACACACACACACGCAGGCAGAACAGTTTTAATTAAGTGAAAACAAAGGAAGAAGTGAGTGTGTATGTAGGAATTAAAGTAGAACAGGTATTCTTCCTCCTTTCTAGGGCGTTGTCCACGATGATTGGAGCAGAGAGGACAGACGGACTGAAGGACCAATAACGGGAGAGTCGGCTTCTCCCCAACAGTTTTGGACCAATTAGATAGTAGTACCTTTTCATACAAATATTGTTAACCACTAAGTTGAGGTCAGTCTTTTCTGTTTTATCCTAAACAGTGAAGATCCATGTATACATGCTAATTTTGATACGTTAATGCATAATAAATTTCACATTGAGAAATATATATCCTCTTATTAGTCTTCTCTTTTCAATATAAAACGAACACTCCTCACATGCGCAGATAAAAAGGAAAGACTTCAGCGCCCGGTGTTCACTTTTTATGATATGTGATCAATAACATGTTATCAGTTGCTACAGTTTTGTAATTTACTGCTTATCACAATAAATGAATTAAAACTTACATATAGCTGCTGCCGCCAGACACTTGGTAACAAAAAAAGGAGGAGTGCAGCCAGGATAGAAAGGTGTGGCGGCATATTCTGCAAAGCTCAGTGTGATGATGGCGAAGGAGGAGGGCTTCAACACCATGACAGTGGTCCAGGAGTAAAGGTAGGCTACAATGGGCCCAAATGCCTCCATTAAATAAGAATACTCTCCCCCAGATTTTGTGATCATGGTGCCAAGCTCAGTATAGCACAGTGCTCCTGTGCAGACACACACATAAAGAGAAGCACAGAGAGGAGGACAGATGCAAAACAAGTGAATAGAAGGCATTTTCATCCATCTTAAATCCATGTTAATCACATTATCCCCAAGCATAGTACTAAAACCCCAATGATAGACAGTAGAGTATAAGACTGCAGGTTATTAATAATGAAAATAATTTATATAAAATATAATAATCTATAACAAATGTTGTGCTTAGCCTTACTAGAAAACTGAAATACATTTGTTTAGTAGATTTCAGAAACAAAACACTGTACATGAATCTGTTTTGTAGAAATGTCCATTTATTGTTGAAGGATGATGTCAGATTTTATCTTGTAGGGGAGGCAGTAAGTAAGTATTCGTGGCAAAGTGGCACAGTGACCTGAAAGCTAAGGGGAAACATCATCAAGTTTGCTTGATATAAAGGTTTATATAACAGTATAGAGCTCATAATGTTTAACTACATTAGTTTAACCTGTTAGTATGTTAACCTTTGCCAGACTTGTAAACCAACCCTTTATGTTGCCAATAAACATTTATATTACATTTATATTTACCACCTTCAAAATAAAGTGCCACCTTGTTATGTGGGAACAGTTTTCCATAAAAAAAAAAACTCTCACAACAGCAGGACAAATACATGTATTTTTGTTAAATCTCAAAACACACCAACTCAGTAGTTTAGCAGTTACTGGATTTACAGCAACAGTGTCTTGTTGACACTTTATGGAGTCAGTTTCTTCACAGTAACTTTCATTTGTGGCTCTGCAATTTGAGCCTTACAAGAATATTTACAGTATGTTTACAAGACTGAGCACCGGAAAAAGTGCACTGCAAGCAGCACTAGCTGTTTTGTCAGGTGGACACTTTCAGCTAGTTTAGGCTGAAAGACTAGACTTAGGGCAAGTGGCATATAATATACATGAAAGTATGTTAGAATTAGAGCTGTGATCAAGATTTATTTATTACAAACATGTTTGTATTTTAGAATCAAGTAGTTTCATCTCAAATTCAGTGTTGTCCAGTTATGTACTATACATTAAACTGTATCTGTTTTCTGGCTCTTTATTTCTGTGTGCACACAGTTTGGAGACATCTGTCAAAAGATAACAGGTGCTGCAGCATTTTTCTCCATGCTAGCTTGAATTAAACTAAAACGATTCATCACAATGGGCTTGTGTGATTCTTCAGGTACTTAGCAGCTCTCAGACAGTTTGGACCTACTAAAGGCCAAGCAGTGGTAGCGCTCCATGCCATTGGGAAATGCTAAGCACTCATGTTCCTGCAGTGGTGTATTGTTCTCACCCAGAGTGGCCAGCACACCACAGGCAGTCCAGACAAGCAGGCAGGGTCCCACAGCTCCAGAGTAGAGCAGAACAGCCTTTGGAGAGATGAAGATGCCTGAGCCAATCATAGTCCCAACAATCAGACAGATGCCACTCAGCAGACCAACCTGAGCAAACACATAGAGAACAACAGCTAAATATCTTATCTCAGTGCACATATGAAACTTTCTTAAATGTTTGTTTCAGTGAAATTGAAGTGAAACATTCTGTGACTTATGGCAAAATATTGTTAAAGAATTTACTGAATAATTGCTGAATTATGTTAAACTGTCTTTAGTAATACTGTAAATCATAAGGCTCACTGAAGCACTTGACGTCAAACTGGCCAGTCATGGAGACTGTGGCTCGTCTTACTGTGAACTGTGTGTACTGGAATTTGCTCATAAGGGGAGTTTTTGAAGATGCATTGACTTTTTCTCCGTCACCATCAGGTTGACATTTGACCTCGTGTGCCTTAGCAGTTGTTTTGTTGTTGTTTGTTTGTTTGTTTGTTTTCATGTTAGCAAATGTTAGCATACTGAAAAGTGAACATCATAAACATTATACTTGCTAAACAGCACAATGCGAGCATGATGATGTTTGCATTTAGCTCAAACATCACTGTGCATAAATATGGCCTTGCAGAGAACATAGATGTTGTCTCACAGCCTTATGGTGTCTGAACACACAAAAACATGACTACTAACATGGGATCTTCGCTCTATTTGACCTGGAATAGATGCTTAGGAGGAATCCAATTTCATGTCCCACTCGTGGACGTGTCTTGGTTTATATCAAGGTGGACTCCTTTACTTCCATTTCAGCCAACCAGATAGTTAAGTAATTCTTCAGCAGAGTGATTAGGTAGTGCTAATTATTAATTGTTTTAAAAATTGTCATAGTAACCAGGGGTGGCTGTGGCTCACGAGGTAGGGCAAGTCATCTTCTGCCCAGCAAGTTGGTGGTTCGACTCCCGGTCTCCCCGCATGTTTAAGTGTCCCTGAGCAAGACACTGAACCCCAAATTGCTCCTGGTGGCTTGACTAGCGCCGTTGTGTGGCAGCCTTGTCGTCATCAATGTGTGAATCTCCCTGTAAAGCGCTTTAGCCAGTGCAACACACTGTGAAAATGCGCTATATAAATACAGTCCTTTTATCCACTGAAGCCCTTGCACTTCACCTAAAGCTTAGTGGGCCTGGACAACACCACTGAATGCATCATCCATCCACCCATTTTCTATACCGCTTATTCCTAAAGAGGGTGACAGGGCAGCTGGAGCCAATGCCAACTGTCACTGGGCAAGAGGCGAGGTCCACCCTGGACAGGTCACCAGTCTATCACAGGGCTGACATGTAGACAAACAACCACGCGTACACACATTCATTCCTATGGGTAATTTAGAGTCACCAATCAACCTATGCTGCATGTCTTTGGACTGTGGGAGGAAGCTGGAGTACCCAGAGGGAACCCACACAGGCACAGGGAGAACATGCAGACTCCACACAGAAAGGCCTCGGGTCGGCCCGGGCTCGAACCTGGAACCCCCTTGCTGTGAGGCGACAGTGCTGAGTTAATATGTAGAGATGATTGAAGTAGTACTGCCTAGTACTCAGTACCAGCCCCCATTACTGTTAACAGGTACACTTGGAAGGTTCCTATAGTGTCAACATCCAACGGGACTTGTTCTCAGGAACACATCTGCACACATACAAACAGATAGATACACACACACACACACACACACACACATCTCTTTGGAGCACAGTGGCCTTCGAAGGCTTGTCTTCAGTCTGAGAGTCCATTCTGCAGCTGGTGGAACCATTCTTTGACTCCTTCTTCCTCCTAATGCTGTCTTCAGCCATTTCAGCTTACTAGTGCTTGAGAAAACACAAAGAGATGTGCAAAGGTTACACCCATTACATTAATGTTTACACGATTGATTTATGTTGCATAGTTATCTTATCTCATGATGTCGTCATCTTTATTTAAGTTTATTACATACTGTGCACAGTATGATAAGGTTTACCAGCAGGATGGCTTCCTTTCATCTTGCTAATCAATGAGGCTTACACCAGTAAAAGAAAAACAACTGA